TAATGTAATCCATCCCAAACGTGTTACCTCTTCTCTCAGCTGCCCTTTCAATTTATCAATGTTTGCCCTTCTGAAATCTAGGACAGTAAAGTAATTTTCCTTGCGTCTGCCATTAAATTCTAATTGAAATCTAATTTCGTTGTGATCGCTGTTAGCAAGTTCGTTCCCTACCCCGACATTACTAATGAGGTTTTCTCTGTTTGACAGAACTAAATCGAATATATTATTACCCCGGGTGGGTTTGGTTATTTGTGGACTTAGGAAACAGTCCTAAACTGTTTCAAGAAAATCCTCTGATTCTGAGTTACCTGTAAGGTCGATCCAATATATTTGGCTAAAGTTAAAGTCGCCTACTATATGAATAATTTTTCTCTACCATCGATTAAGTCTATCCAAACTGTTTCTGTATTCAGTTCAGTTTTTATTTATTTATTTATTTCACACTTCAGATTAATGATGACATGGATTGCTACTCTGCCTCCTTTCCTAACCTGCCTATCGGTATGAAATAATTTGTATCCTGCAATTTGGTATATATATATATATATATATATATATATATATATATATATATATATATATATATATATATATATATATATATATATATATATATATATATATATATATATATATATATATATATATATATATATATATATATATATATATATATATACATATATATATATATTACATAAGAACATAAGAAAGTAAGGAGTCTGCAATAGACCGGATGGCCTGTGCATGGCAGTTCCTGTCGAGAGTTTCTACCACTCTCTATCATCCATGAATATCGAGGGGAAAGTTTTAAATTGGATAAAATCATGGCTCACCGATAGAACGCAGAGGGTCAGCGTAGATGGTGTTAAATCTGAGTGGGGCCGTGTAACCAGTGGGGTTCCCCAGGGGTCAGTACTAGGCCCACTATTGTTCATAATCTACATAACCGATTTAGAAACTGGGATCAGCAGTGACATAAGCAAGTTTGCGGATGACACCAAAATAGGGCGGCAAATTAATTCAGGGCAGGATGCAAATGCATTACAGGAGGATCTAAATAAACTGCAGGGGTGGTCTGAAAAATGGCAAATTTAAATTCAACACCAGCAAGTGCAGCGTACTTAATATTGGAAGAACAAATACTTATAATGTATACAGCCTTAACAACATCAACCTAGAGAAGTCGACTTGTGAAAGAGACCTAGGGGTACTTGTAAGCCCGGACCTATGGCCTAGAAAACAGTGCGTTAATGTTCGAAATAAGGCAAACAGAGTATTGGGTTTTATATCTAGAAGTGTAAGTAACAAGAGTGCACAGGTCCTATTGCAACTATATCTTGCGCTAGTCAGGCTGCACCTCGATTATGCGGTTCAGTTCTGGTGCCCCTATTATAGAATGGATATAAATTCACTAGAGTCGGTGCAGCGAAGAATGACAAAATTGATTCCGGGACTTAGAAACCTTCCATATCAGGATAGGTTAAAGAAACTTAACTTGCATTCCCTAGAAAGACGAAGAGTGCGGGGAGATATGATAGAAGTATTTAAGTGGGTGAAAGGAATCAATAAAGGGGATATAGATAAAGTTCTTATAATATCCGAGCAGGATAGGACTCGGAGCAACGGATTCAAGTTGGATAAGTTTAGGTTTAGGAGGGAGATAGGAAGAAACTGGTTCACAAATAGGGTGGTGGACGAGTGGAACAAGCTTAGCAACTTTGTAGTAAGTGCGGGAACTCTGGAAAGTTTCAAAAGGAGGCTAGATAGATTCATGGATGATAGAGAGTGGTAGTAACTCTCGACAGGAGCTGCCATGCACAGGCCAACCGGCCTATTGCAGACTCCTTATTTTCTTATGTTCTTATGTAATATATCCAGCCTCCTTTTGAAACTTTCCAGCGTTCCAGCACCTACTACAAAGTTGCTAAACTTGTTCCACTCGTCCACCACCCTATTTGTAAACCAGTTCCTTCCTATCTCCCTCCTAAACCTAAACTTATCCAACTTAAATCCTTTATTGATTCCTTTCACCCACTTAAATACTTCTATCATATCTCCCCGCACTCTTCGTCTTTCTAGGGAATGCAAGTTAAGTTTCTTTAACCTATCCTGATATGGAAGGTTTCTAAGTCCCGGAATCATTTTTGTCATTCTTCGCTGCACCGACTCTAGTGAATTTATATCCATTCTATAATAGGGGCACCAGAACTGAACCGCATAATCGAGGTGCAGCCTGACTAGCGCAAGATATAGTTGCAATAAGACCTCTGCACTCTTGTTACTTACACTTCTAGATATAAAACCCAATACTCTGTTTGCCTTATTTCGAACATTAACGCACTGTTTTCTAGGCCATAGGTCCGGGCTTACAAGTACCCCTAGGTCTCTTTCACAAGTCGACTTCTCTAGGTTGATGTTGTTAAGGCTGTATACATTAAGTACGCTGCACTTGCTGGTGTTGAATTTCATTTGCCATTTTTCAGACCACCCCTGCAGTTTATTTAGATCCTCCTGTAATGCATTTGCATCCTGCCCTGAATTAATTTGCCGCCCTATTTTGGTGTCATCCGCAAACTTGCTTATGTCACTGCTGATCCCAGTATCTAAATCGGTTATGTAGATTATGAACAATAGTGGGCCTAGTACTGACCCCTGGGGAACCCCACTGGTTACACGGCCCCACTCAGATTTAACACCATCTACGCTGACCCTCTGCGTTCTATCGGTGAGCCATGATTTTATCCAATTTAAAACTTTCCCCTCGATGCCATGAGCCTTAATTTTTCTCAGAAGCCTCTGATGCGGTACTCTGTCAAATGCTTTGCTAAAGTCTAAGTAAATAACATCGTAATTTTCGTCATTATCTACTACCTCGAAGACTTTTCTAAAAACGTTAGCAGATTTGTTAGATTTTTCCTTGTAAACCATATTTGAGTCGTAGATTAATTTGCTTTTCTCTAGATGCGATCGGATGCTATCTGCTATAATTGATTCAAGAAATTTCCCCACTACTGACGTCAAACTGATCGGCCGGTAATTTGACGCTGATGCTCTGTCTCCCTTTTTGAATATGGGTACTACATTTGCCTGAAATACTACAGGCTCTAATTTTTCATCACCAATTACAGTATTTTGTTTTGGTAAACTTCCATTTGACTGAATTAGGTGCATAATAAAATAAGTTCACTGGGAGATGGAGTTTGATCATTTAATGATAAAGTGACTTAAGCATTTACGATACAGTATTTTGGTTAATGTAGCGGACTTTACAGCAGCTTCCCCCGTTTCAGTAATAGTAAGTTCGCCCACAGCATGTGATAAGTTATGCTAGGTTAGGTTAGGTTAGGTTAAGTTAGGTTAACTTAACTTTAACTTATAAATAAAACTTTTTAAAACATTTGCCAGAAATACGGTCTCACAATAAAACATTGAAATTGCGGCATTTATAAATTTGTTTCCCCTGAAAACCGCAACTTTTAACCCATGACAATATAATAAGGGCATATCCGGACTTAAAACTTATTTCCTATTATTTTATGCATTACTGTACATTAGTTATATTTGAAAATGACATTGGAAACCTTAGAAAATTTATATTTCTCCTGTGTTTGTAACTAACAGGCTTTCCACAAGTATTTTTATTTTGTAAAATCTTTTCCTCCCAATCAAATTGACTAATAAATCACGTTCTCTCTGCGATATAGGACTTGCCCTTGGTGATTGGGAGGAAAAAAATATCCATGATGAGAGAGCAGTTCTCTTAATCTTCGCGCCAACGAAGGTTAACAAGGACACACAAGTAAGACTACCCATAATGCATCAGCTAAGAGGACAGTATTACCAGACCTACCCTACTTGGTCCCTCACGAAGGGGAAGCAATTAAAAATACCGCATGAAAGAACAATCCCTTCAAGAAGACTCTTTGTCAGAGAGGAAAGATGTTTAATAATACGGGCGATAAACTCAAGCTTGCCAATATATTACACAGAACGAGCATAAGGAAATACTTCTTCTATACTGCTTCAATACCAGCACAAGCTCTGGAATCACAAACAGTACCAAGCTTCAAAATAGCCTTTGACAAGATTATTAAGAACACTGGAGGGAGCCTACACAGGCCACTGTCCCCCTTCCCTCGGCATGGCCACCTCTAATGGGTGGCCATTAGGTAATTGAGGTAAGGTAACTCATCATCGTAAGTAGTGTGTGCTGTACGTGTCTATGTTTGCTAGTGAGCGTATACATATGTACACACAAGTATATAACAACACAAAAAACACCAGCATACAATTTTTACATAGAACAAACACAAAATCTTAAAAGAAGAAATCTACTCCTGAAAATATTCCACTCTAGGTAAAAATATGAAAACTATGAAAAATTCACCATGAATATCGAAAGGAAAACAAAACACACAAACACAACAGCTGGGAGTTGAAATTGAAAGACAGTTGAAAACAAACAGTTGAGTGAACAGTAAGAGGAGGAGGAGGAGGAGGAGGAGGAACGCGAGGAGGAGGATGAAGGCGAGGAAGAGGAGGATGAAGAGGAGGAGGAGAGAGAGAGAGAGAGAGAGAGAGAGAGAGAGAGAGAGAATGTACCCATCAGTCGTACTACTACCCCGGTACAGGACCCATTTAAATGTTCTCGTCAAGACAAGACATTCCACGCCTCGATTCTTCCTTGTCAATAAAACGAATATTTTTGCTTTGGTGACTCACTCTTACAACCTCAGGCCACTGCAGTCTGATGAAGGATGTAACACTGGACAAATGCTCCAGTCTTAGCTTATTCAGTCCTTGGGGCCAAGGCTCGATGCTGAATCTTATGTGTTTGTGTGTTTGTTTGTCTGGTCGTGATCTCCGACTACAGTTTTGGAGAAAGAAGCTGAAATCTAACAAGAAGATGAGCCCTGAGGTACCCCAAAAGTGTTTCGAGGTGTATGTGTGTGTCAGGTTCCTGACTGTTTGGTAAACTACTCCATTACCTCCACCAGGCTCGTGTGTGCGGGTGTTCTCCCTGCAGACAGAGGTGTGGTCGGCGCCATCAACAGAGGTGTACCTGAGGAAACACCTGGGGACAGCTGGACAACCCCAGAGCACCTTGTCACCCCTCACCTCACTCACCGCTTGCTACCGGATCCGCAACACCGCCTTCGTCCAGGAAGAGACTCATCTGTCATATGCCCTCCCTGACTCAGCCAATGCCTTCCTTATCTGTGAGTATCAGAGTCTTTAACGAACGCCAGTGCAGGAAGGGACTGGTGAAGGTTTACATTTGGTTCAGTATCCCCCCACGCACAAAAGAACACTAGGCACTAAACCGTTCACTCACTCACTCACCAACCATTCAGAAGCGTGACTAAGAAAATGACAACCAATAAGTAAGACGTAGGATCAATATCAACTATAGTTGCGGTCAATATGTTTAATATCAGGTGTATATGACGTATACAGTGGCACCCTTAACACCAAGTAACATATGACATACCTATGAGTCATTCACCGTGTGTGAAAGGTTGATAGTGAAAGCTGTTGCTGCTTTACATTATAGGTAGTGAACGCTGCTTTTCATTACACTGGGGAACACACTTTTGGTTGCATGAGTTCTGACACTTGATTCTGGTAGATTTGAGGTCACAGATTCTGAAAATGGCATTCGTTTGTGCAGATCAGGCCTAGTTTTGATGCTACGCGGCAATTTACATATCAGGTCACAGATTCTGAAAATAGCAAAGGGAGGTAATAAGCATATTAGTTTACATTCATCAAATATAATTCTTAATTACATCAGTGCGTCAAATATAGATTTGTGTGTGCATTAGTGTGTGCATTATTATTTTATTTCTGGATTAGTCACCGCGATGGGAGCTCCAGGTTATGATCCGAAAGAGTGGCGCCTCTTTATAGATAGCTCTAAGCGGAGTCTGAAGTGTGTTTTATTACATATAGGCAACATCTTTGGCGCAATACCCATAGGACACTCAGTACACCTGAAAGAAAAATATGAACACATCAAAACGGTTTTGGAGCTACTCAAATATGAAGAACACAAATGGATCATCTGTGTTGATCTAAAAATGGTCAATTTTTTGCTAGGACAGCAAGGTGGGTATACAAAATTTCCTTGCTTTATCTGCCTCTGGGACAGCAGAGCCAAAGACAGACACTGGATTCAGAAGGAATGGCCAGTTAGGGAAAGCCTCAATGTTGGGGAAAAGAACATCATTTATGAACCCCTAGTGGAACGTGAAAAAATTGTTTTCCCGCCCCTTCACATCAAGCTGGGCCTTATGAAACAGTTTGTCAAGGCGCTCGATACTGACAGTGACTGTTTTAAGTATCTGTGTGAAGTGTTCCCTGGTTTAACGCTAGAAAAACTCAAAGCAGGTATTTTCGACGGCCCTCAAATTAGGACGCTGATTAAAGACCAAGCCTTCACTCAATCCATGACTGATGTTGAGAGAAATGCATGGGGAGCATTCGTTTCTGTTGTAAGGAACTTTCTTGGAAACAGGAAATCAGAGGACTATAAAAAGCTCGTTGAATCTTTGATGGAAAGTTTCCATGTGTTAGGTTGCAACATGAGCATTAAGATGCATTTCCTGAACAGTCATCTTGAACTGTTTCCGGCAAACTTGGGGGACGTGAGTGATGAGCAAGGTGAACGCTTTCACCAGGATATCAAAGTCATGGAAGACAGGTATCAAGGTCGCTGGGACATTCACATGATGGCGGACTATTGCTGGAGCATTCAGCGAGACTGCACTGAGAGGCGATATTCAAGACAGTCCATTAAACGCAAGTTTGTGCCTGAATAAATCTGGCATAGTTCACAAAAGCAACTGATGAATCCAAAATATGCTTGTCAAGGTAAATAAAATTAATTAAAAATTAATTCTACGTGTTTGGTAATTCCTCTCTGTGTGCTGGTTTAGATTTTTAGCAGTAGTATATGGTAGTCTAACTATATATAGTAGTAAATGGTAGGTAACTCACCGCAACAAAACTAGACCCGATAGAAAAAACCGGTGCCATATTTGAAATCAGTGACCTCAATTTACCCAGAAACATGTTTCAAAATGTATGCAACTGACAAAAAGTTGAATTTTGTTCCCCAGTGTTATAGCAGATGAACGCTATTTTTCATTATAAATTTAGCTATAATAACAACATAATAGCCCCATATATAATAAAAAAGAAATTCTGAGTAAATATATCTTGTTACATTAATCCTCTCTACCTGTAAAGGTCTCAGGTAGGTGATAGATGTGAAAAGTGTCCACATATTTTTTTTTTATTGCTGTTTTTTTCATGTATATACAGTATGTGTGTGTGTGTGTGTGTGTTTGTGTATGTGTGTGTGTGTGTGTTGTGTGTGTGTGTGTGTGTGTGTGTGTGTGCGTGTGCTTAACGGTACTACCCTCTCTAATGTTACCCACTTTCGGTATCTTGGCTCCCGCCTGTTCACCAACGTGGACATCGATGAAGAGATTCAGCATCGGTTCAGAAATGCATCCCAAGCCTTTCGCAGACTCAAAACCGTGTCTTCAGCTGTAGGGAGCTGAAATTATCTACAAAGTTACACGTATATCGAACTGTGGTCCTCCCCACCCTCCTATATGGCAGTGAGACATGGGTCACATACAGGAGGCACCTCAAGGCACTTGGAAACTTCACCAACTTACTCTACGTTCCATCCTCTGAGTTCGCTGGGAAAACAAGAAAACAAATGCCAGTGTTCTTGCTGAGACCAACTGTAGGAGCATCGAGGCTACCATTATCCACGAGCAACTACGCTGGACTGGCCATGTTACCCGCCTGGACGATAGTAGACTGCCAAAGCAGCTACTTTACAGTCACCTAACGAATATTAAACGTAACGCTGGAGGGCAACTGAAAAGGTATAAGGATAGTCTTAAGACAAACCTGAGAAAGTGCCAAATTCTCCCCTCACACCATAACCCTTGGAAGAACACCACACAAAAAGGTGTCAATCCATTCGAGTTAGCCCGACTGCATAACGAGGCAGACAAGCGCCAACGCCGGAAAGACGCTGCCACCGCCCTTCCCGCACTGGATGTAGCCCCTACATGCGCAACATCTGTGATCAACCCTACCGGTCCCGTATCGGCCTCTTTAGTCACTTCCGAACTCACCAACTAGGTGACATCCTTAATAACAAGTCATATTATTGTATCATAGCTGGATGATCGTAATACTCGATTCCGCGTGACAACAAAGAAAGTGTGTGTGTAAT